TGTCTGATGAAGGGACTAAAGCATACTACAGCTGGGCAACCACTGTTAGATATTTTCAATCGTTGCACGCAGCTACAACTCAAACTGTACGACTAAACCACAGGGTTTTCAAAGGTCACAGGTCACAATGCATGTTCTTACACTGTGCGACCCAACGCTCTGATGCGATCTACCTACTTACACTGTACATCTAAGAACAAGAGGTCGGACTGAGCGAAGAGAGATGGCGCTGGTCGGACTCATCAATCTGGAAGAAGAACCCCCTTGTTTGTGCATGCGCAGTGCTCGAGGTTCTGGTAAATTAGCTCGTAGCTCTTCTTCAACAGCAGGATTTGTCCATGAACACCTTACGAATTAGGGATAGACTTTTGTTTTAGTTTTTACGAAACCAGTGGCTCGTTTTTTCAACAGTAGGCTAACAGGAAAGAGGGTATGAGAGAGAGGGAGAGACATGCAGGAAAGGACCACAGGCCAGATTAGCACTGACTACGCTCCTGGCTGGTACGTTTCAATTTCAGAGGCTGCATCCAGGTAGATCACATCAGAGCGTCGGGTCACACAGCGTGAGAACAAACATTGTTAGCTGTGAACTCACACTGTATGATGAAACCCTGTGATTTCTTCGTACAGTGTGAGCTGTAGCTGCGTGCAACGATTAAAACATTCGTACAGTATATACCCGGGTTTAGAGGGAATTTGTTTTTCCTATTACTTTTGCTCTACTATCAGATTTGTAAAAAATGATTAATTGAAATCATTTCCCCCTGCCAGAATTTATAGTTGTTGTTGTTTAAGCTTTTTACTAAACTTGGATCAAGGTATTCCATAATATGGATCAGCTCAAAGGAAGAAACATAAACTCACAAAAACTGAACTGTGTCTGGAGCGTCATGAGGAGCGTTCCAGATCACCACCACCTCGCTCTGTTTGTGGTCACTTGTGTGGCTCACAGCTGAATCCTGCAAACAGTTTGAAGTGTTTGTTACTTGATGGAGACTCGTTTTACACTAGAGCCTCCTTCTGCCATGTGTTTGCTCATACCTGGTGCATAGAGCAGGTGAGCAGCTGCGTTCTGATAGGATTAGTTAACATGAAGGTGCCGATCGTTGATACGGAGGCCTGATTGGTTGGATCCCGGGCCTGTAACAGGAAGCCTTCGAAGGACTTTGAACCTGTGAGGATGACTGAAAAAAAAAGAAAGTTATAACATTTTAAAACTGCATCAAGGATACTACCAAAATAAAATATCAAATGTCAAATGCTTAAATTATTAAAAAAAAATGTATATTTTCTATATTAGCTGCACTAGTTTTCTTTTATTAAGCAAGAAGCTGAAGATCAGGACTGGTGTTAAAGTGCAACACCTTTTGAAACCCCTCTGAATATTTAGCAAATGTTTAGTTACCCTGGATCCTGTCTCCTGGACTGAAGCTGGTGACGTTGGTTTTCAGCTGGTAGGGGCTGGTAGTCGTCTGAGCTGGGACACCATGATGAGGTTCCATAGTACTGCAGGCTTTAGTGACCTTACCATTAGCGTAGCCAGCTGCCGGCACCAAATGACCTCCAAAGAAGGAGAGGATGAAGAAAAAACTCAAAGTCCCACGAGCCATCTGTGGGTAAAAATGTATCCCTTTAATATTCTCTGTCCCCAAGAAAAAACATCCTTAAACAGAGGGGGGTGGGCTCATGTTTCAGCTTTCAAAAACCTAAAATGCAGCAACTGAGTCGATCCCTTCCCGCTATCATCTCCACCCGACCACTTTACAGGGGAACAGAAGGGAACAGCCAGGCCAACAATTCCCTTTAACGACCCCCCGTTCTCCTTGAAAATGGCTATTATTGTCAGGTTTCTGTTATGTTTTTCTTTTGAGTATTCAGTCTTACTTTACTCCTATTTTTCTAGTGTTTAGTTTTCTTTTCTCCATGTTTTATAGTCCTAGTTATTT